CCTGAGTTAATGGAAACGTGCTTTTGGCCAGTTTTTGTGTATCATAAAATAAAGACAATTGGCCAACGCACGGGCTGCCCGTGCGAAAATGCGTTTTTTGCACAGTTCCCCGCAGATTTCTTGTCGCTAACGGCACTGTTTTTTTTCCCGGAAGATGCTTCTAGCTAAAAGAATTTCAAACTGTCCGTCGGGACTGTCAGAAAACATCGCTTCAAAATTCCAGCCTTCTTGCTTCTCAGGTTCCCGAGTTAGCAACTTACATGAAAAAATACTTCATGGTCCCATATGTGGGAATGACTCAAACCCGGTGGCTAAGTTTGAGCTCATTAATACCTACGTGAATGAGGAACATATCCTTAAAATTTCAGTCTTCTAGCTTCTTGGGTTCCCGAGCTATCAAATTCCCGAAAAAAGTTTTCACGGGCCCTACGTGGGTGCCACGCATACGCCGGGGTTTGGTTTGAGCTCAGTAACATTTAGGTGGACGGGAATAGCGTCTTAAAATTATAGTCTTCTAGCTTTTCGAATTTTCAAGTTAGCAATTTACTCGAAAAAAATTTTGGCGCTCCGTGCGTGCGTACTACGCATACCCGAGGGCTGGGTTTGAGCTCATTGAGACTTACGTGGACGTAGAACATCCCTTTAAAATTTCAGCTTTCTAGCTTTTCTGGTTCTCAGGTTAGCGACTTACAGGCAAAAAACTTTCGAGGGCCTGTACGTGGGCACTACGCGGGTAAGAGCGCCCATTTTAGGGATTGGGGCCCGTACGTCCATGTAGGTTGAGTTCCCAAAATTTCAGCCCTGTAGCTTTTGTAAGACTTGGGATGAAAAACCGTGATAGACGCACACACAGACACACGGACAACCCCTCATCAGTATGCGTTTCCTGCATTGCACAGCTACAAAAAACGCATAAAAACATGGAAGTTCGTGCTCGTGTCATGATCCTACGAGCCACTTCTCATTTGTGTGAATTTCTTAGAAATATAGTGTGGTTTTTTTTTTTTAAAATTTTAGCATATTTCAGGAGTTTTACGAACGTGAAGATCGTGAAGCGCTGTCAATGACAATGGAAACACTGGAGGCATCGTTTCTTGAACATTCTCGAATACTCAGGCAAAAAATCACGGATCTGTGTTCTCCTTCGGCTAAAGTATTTGCATTTTTATTTATTGTATTACCTGGATCAATTGTATTATCGTCCGGCTATCTCAGTATGCAGCTGGCAACTTTTTCACTTGCTCTGCCCAATATGTCATCGCCTGATGGCCATTCTGCTGCCGACGGAAATGTTTCTTTTGTCTCCTGCAGGGAGTACCAACTCAATCGTTTTTTTTTTTTTTTGACAAGCATTTAGCACGGCTTTGGCATTTCTTGATGTGTGTTGAGCAGCAGTATCTGGTTTCGAAAGTTTCTACCGTAAGGTCACGGCACTTTACCACCAACTGGGGAACTTGCAGGAAATCAGGAAACATGCACGAATTGATTTGTTTTGAATATTAATTTCGTTTTGTTTCAGACTTTTCTGTGAACCTCAAAGATTTTTTCAATATTTAAACTGAGTTTTCTTAAAAGTTCGTAATCGGGACTATTGTTCATTTCTTGAAGGGATGGAGGCATTCGGGA